AAGTTGGGCTTGAGATGAGGATGTATCAAAAATTAATCAACTGTTAAGTGTCAACGCTGTCACGTTCACCTCGTTCACTTTGTAAGAAAGAAATATAGATAGATAAGCCAGCAGGTGACTAGTTCATTTGAAGCGAAGGACGTAGTAATCGTGGAAGTACATATAAAGAGCTAATGGTTGGCCTAAAATTAGCGTAAGCCACATGGCCATGTTGCCGAGTTTGCCGCCTTTGGGACAGTAGTAATGAACCAGTAAAGCGTAGGGTTGCTGCCCCAACATGCCTAGGAAGGCCCACATACGCGGCATCTTGAGGGGCACGGACACCATCAGCTCGTGGAAGAAGGCGCTCACGAGGAAAACCACACAGGAAGCTGCAAAGCGCGTGTAGCCTCGCACCAACATCGGCTTATATATATGTCTGAGGATAATGAAGAAGAAATTAGACCCAAAATGACCTCCAAAATGCTAAGCAAGTTTGTTAGATCACCACTCATTGCCTAGAAGTTAGTTGAACTTGAGCATAGGATCACGGGTTCCGAGAATGTTCCAGAAAAACCCTTGTGTTATTAGTAAAAGCAATATCAAGTTAAATTGTTTGACGACAGAAGTTAAAAAGGAAAATTAAAATGTACCTTTAGATTTTACTGTTTGCTTGAAGACTGTTAACTTGTGCCAATATCACAACACTGAAATGTACCCAAACGATCAATCGAAAAGCGATTCCTTATTTTAAAGCCTTAAATCAAAGGCAAAGGAAACCTTTTGAGAGGAGTTGCAGAGAATAATGACTAGTCGTATGAGGATCGATGGGACTGACTTTACTCTTAAATGGCATTCAGACTCAATCATTGTTTTGCGGTGAGCATCAGGACCCAATCTGTAGCATTTATATGGAATTCATTTATTAAACGAGCTGTTCACTGCTGATCATGCATTCGATCTCAGCTATTTCTGATCATAAGTTGAGGTTTAAGTTCCTTCAAGAAAATAAAGGAAGCGTGAGGCAATATAAACGAGCAGGTGGATTATTTTGACAGTAAACTTCTTGAGCAAGACAGACTTGCGCTACCCTAAATAGCTACTCATCTAGTATAGAGCAGAATGTCGAGGAGTATATACAGGGAAGCAAGAGTGGTTGCTCTCGTAATTGTAATGCTGAAACAATATGGCTCTATGTAAGCAGACTTTAGCTGATTCGTGACAATCAACATCCTCTTTTAGTCTACTCTCTATTCAAACTAACTAACTAACATTGATCAAGCTTTGTCATTGAATTACATTCACTAAGTTGTTTATGACAAAAACTTAATCAACCTTTTTTCCACGGACTCGCCATGCATATTTCCAACAAGTTCTTGACAAAAAGCATTGTGCAAATCATGAGTTGCTAATGTTCCTTGTCCCAACCTTGATAGGACTAATTTTTTCCTTGATTTGATTTGATCAAAAGCAATGTAAAAAAAACTTGAAAAAGCCACTAGTGTTTAGTCAGGGACCTTTTCAAAAGTGTCAACGTACCTTACAAAATTTCTTGAAAAGTAGGGTACCACTCACCTGCGACACCAACGGTGTACGGGAATATTCCAGGATGACCAGAATTTCGACACCGAAGCGGCATTCCTTTAAAAAAAGGAGAACAAGCTGTGAGATTAGTAAGCCAGGGAAAACAGCCCTATCAATTATGCGTTCTCAGTTCAGGTGCATTGAATTTAAGTGGTTTACGTTCACATGTCAAATGACTCTTTGGGCAGGTGCCATCTTGGCTGGCAGTCTAGCTCATAAAAGGAGACAAATTTCATCCATCTGAACAACAGTGGATTATGCCTTTGAACAAGGAAGACTAAAAGTCACCAAAATGAGAAAGTAGGATAAGAGGCTAGGAGGTGACACAACCCGACTCTTCGATGCTGAATATCATTTGAAGGATAAGAAAACTATGCTTTGGGCGTTAAAGGAAAAAACCAGGGACGGTAAAATTCCAAAAGGCCGATTTCTTAAGTTTAACGTTAAAGTCGTCCCATTTAAATGAGACTAAGTATGAGAGACAAAGAAAGACCATGGATACGAGGATTCACTTAATACTTTTGACAAGTGTACAAAAATACTGACACCTTAAATTACTGCTTAATCTAAGGTGAGTAGTAGTAAGTGAGATTATTTATGAAAGCATGGCAAATTTTAAATATGGGAAAGGACGATACCACACAGAAGGTAAGCCCAAAGTTGGGAATGGGCGTCAACTTCTGCCGTTATGGGGCATGATAAAATAATGATCATAACAGAGCCTACTCCTATCTGATATAACA